TTGCATAGGCGATTACCTTTTCGTTTTTGCTTTTGGACGAGGACCACACCCAAACCGATATCACTGGCGTCCATGTGCATTTCCGTTTCGGCGTTTTCGTCGAAATGAGCGAGCACGGGCGGGTTTTGCAGGCGTTGTTGCAGCTCGCAGAATGCCTTTTCTTGGTCGTTTTCCCAGCTGAAAGGGGTGCTTTCTTTCGTCAGGCGCGTGAGTGGCTCTGCAATGCGTGCGAAGTTTGCGACGAAGCGCCGGTAGTATGCGCACAGTCCGAGAAACCTTCGCACACCCTTTTTATTTTTTGGCCTTGGGAAGTTAGCAATGGCTGATGTTTTTGCCGGGTCAGGTAGGACTACCGCGGCGTTCACGACGTGACCCAAGAACTTGAGTTCCTCGTACGCGAAACGGCACTTCTCAGGCTTCAGCGTTATCCCCGACGTACGAATGGCCTCGAGTACAGATTCCAACCTTGTGAGGTGTTCGTCGAAAGTCCGAGCGAATACGACAACGTCGTCGAGGTACACGAGGCAAGTGTGCACTTCAGGCCTGCTAGCACAGTGTCCATGACTCTCTGCAACGTTGCGGGCGCCGTGCACAGCCCAAACGGCATCACCTTGAACTCGTATAGACTGTCCGGGGTTATAAATGCAGTCTTCTCTCGGTCTCTCTCGTCCACTTCAATTTGCCAGTAGCCGGTCTTCAGATCCATGGATGAGAAATACTTGGCGTGGCAGAGGTGGTCGAGGGCGTCGTCGATTCGTGGCAGGGGGCACACGTCCTTTTTGGTGATTTTGTTTAGTCTCCGGTAGTCAACGCAGAATCTTAAAGTGCCATCTTTTTTCTTCACGAGTATAACCGGCGCAGCCCACGGACTTTTCGATGGCTGTATTATGTCGTCGCCGAGCATGTCATCTACTTGAGTCCGGATGGCTTCGCGCTCGTGTGAAGAAACGCGGTACGGTGACTGTCTGGTAGGCCGGGCTCCATCGTCGGTTATTTTCCGGTGCTTCACCAAAAGTGTCTGCCGTAACTTCGAGTTCGAGGAAAAACACTCGCTGTAGCGACGGAGCAACTCCAGTAACCTGTCTCGATTTTCTTGCGACAGCGCCGGGTTCACGTCGAAAGGATGTGGCAGCCTGGAAGCATCTGCGCGTGCGCGTTCAAAGGTGGCGACCGCGATCACTTGACTCGCTTCTTGCGTTTCTTCGACGAACGCAATTGCAGCGCCCTTGTTTAAATGCTGGTACTCCTCGGTGAAATTGGTGACCAAAACGTGGGATCTTCGTTGCTTAAACCGCGCAATGCCTCTTGCGACAGACACACCGTGGTCTAGAAGCAACCTTTGGTCAGTCTCCACGATAGCGTCGACGTCAGGAGCAGCACCTTCACAATCGACGGCGATCATCAAGCTTGCGTGAGGTGGCAGGGTGACGTGATCGTCGGCGATTCTTACAGCAGCACGGTGTCCGAGGTTCGGCTGCGGCGTCGTGGAGTGACCGGAAGAAAACGTTATTCCTGGTATGCAGATCAATTATTGCGCCATTGTCCGTCAAAAAGTCCATTCCGAGAATTACGTCACGGGAGCAGTTAGGCAAAATGACGAACTCCGCAGGGTACGTAGTGCCGTCTATGGTGACGCGCGATGCGCACATTACACTTGGGGTCACGAGGTGGCCTTCTGCGGTGCGTATGTGGGGACCGTCCCATCTGGTCGTAACTTTCTTTAGCTTGGACGCGAATGACCCGCTCATGACCGAGTAGTCGGCTCCCGTGTCGATGAGGGCGACTACGTCAAGGCCGTCGATGGACAACTGGACGTCGGATGCCGCTTTCCTCGAATTTCGGGTGCGTCGGGGCGTCGTATCGCGGCTTGCGCGTGTTGAGTGTCTGGCACTATGCGTCGTCATCGTCGTCTTCTCAGCGGCAGGCTTCGTCATTTCGGGTACGCGTCGCGCACCGTAGCTGTCGTCGTTTTCGGGGGTCTCTTCAGGGTGTCGTCGGGTAGTCGGGATGAGGGCATGTCGTGAATCATGGTCTTGCATCGTTGGAGGGTTTTCGTTTTCTCGCCGTTGTGCAACTTCACCTCCAGAAGTTGCTGCTTTTAGTTTCCCACTCGTGGGCTGGGGGACCTTCCACGGGCGAAGTCAGCATTGCTGCGACGGTTGGAGGATTGGTACGGGTAGGGCGACGGCAAACGGTTGAAACGGGATGACCACTCAACACCCTTTCGGTGAACCCGGTAAACGCCCCTGTATTGGCGACGGAAGTCTTGCGGGAAACCATCCGCGCCGTCGTTCGCGAGGAACTGAGAAAATTGTTCCCAGCAACGCCGCAGCCCCAAGTCGCCTCCCTCACTGACGTCGTCCGCGAGGAGGTTCAGCAAGCCCAACACGACAAGCACGCCCTACTTGTGTCAGCCACCGACAGCAAGGCCTTCAGCCAGAGTTTGGACTGCTCCCGGATAAAAAGAGGAAAGAAGACGTAAGAACCCCGATGATCAACGCAGGCACCATGACCAGCGCTACCAACCCTCCCGTCGCTCTGCAACAACCTCGAGAGCCCCCATCATTTTCCTGGTGAAGACCCGGAAGAGTGGCTGGAGAAGCTGGAGCGCATCCGCATCTTTAACAGGTGGGATGACGAAGAAACGTTTCGTCATGTCTTCTACTATTTGGAGGATGCAGCTCGAACGTGATTTGAGAACCATGAAGGCTCCCTAACCGACTGGACTGTCTTTAAGAGCGAATTCCTCAAAACATTCGCTACGGTTGTGCGGAAAGAACGAGCCGCCCTTTTGTTGGAGACGCGAATGCAACACCCTAACGAAGGTGTTGTACTGTTCGCTGAGGAGATGAAGATGCTGTTCCGGAGAGCTGACCCCGAAATGGCAGAAGAGAAGAAGGTGCGCTTTCTGATGCGGGGAGTTAAACAAGAGCTCTTCACTGGACTCATCCGCAACCCTCCTAATACCGTCGCTGAGTTCGTCACCGAGGCTTCGATGATCGAGAGGACCTTGGATATGCGTTCGCGGCATTATCTTAGCTATGTAGTCTCACTAGAGGGCAACAAATAGAACATATGTACTGCTACTCCTTTGCACCGTTTCATCCGTATTTAACAGCTGATTGAGTTCTTCGGGCTCTTCGTTTCACCGGGTAGTGCAAACAGGAATCATCAGCAACACGAACCGGTATGCACTCGCTTCACCCTCTTCAACTCCTGCTGTGGTCCTGCAACACGTGCACCAACCTATCTATCGCACAATACAAAAACTATGATGGACGAGTATCTTGCGCGCCTAAATATGACGTAACACTACGTAAAGACTTCTCACGGGCAAAAATCGCGTAACGACACGTACAAACTTGAAGAGCGACTAAAATGACTTAGCACAACCGTAACAAATAGGCACTAAACACCACGTAAGATTCGCATAATGTAGTCACGCCAATAATAATGACGTAACATTGAATCATGTGACAACAACTACAATAAATCGCGGAATAGCCAGACACGACCCGCCTGCCACAATCAATTTTCAGTTGCAAGTACAGAGCCCTTCTTCGTCTGGGTGCCCCATGGTAGAACATCGAGCGTTTTAATTTCGTTTGTCCCAAAGTGACACGCCCGCGATCGTGTAGCGGCCACACGATGCACTCCCGCCATAAACCACTTGACATGCTCCCACCAAGGGACTCGAAAAGGCTGGTCACGTGACTAAAGTCCCAACATCCTATAACAGGTAGTGTTGTGACATGTCTAGCATAGTCTAGCGAAGTACAGCCACAATAATACTGCTAGCAAAACATGGGTTGAATTCCTCTCTGCCGTGGTTCCGGACTGCTGACGGTTCCTGTCTGCTGATGGTTCCTGACTGCTGATGGTTCCTGACTTTTGATGGTTCCTGACCACTGATGGGTCTTCGTTTGAGCCACTAGTGCAGTGGTGTTCTGTCTTTTTCACCTAGTGTTATAAAAGCTCTTGACAGCAAAACACACCGACAAACATTTTTTTCCTTGTTCTTTCGTCTGGTTCCGCGCAGTTTACCAAGATATACTTTCAGACCAAGCAAAAGGTTACCCAAAAATAACTGTGATGCTCCTATTGGAAAAGTGTCCGATGACTGCTTAAAGGGGCCCTGCAATACTTTTCTACGTACTCAAGGAGTATATTTACTAAAGGAGCTTATTTTCTCACCAATTCGCCGCCGCTGGAATTTTTCGAATCCATCCGGTATAAGTTGAGTTACAAAGTTTTGTCGCACTTTTCAATTGCATTCTGTCTTCCCTCATCCTGACGAAAGCGCTGGAAGCTACGAAGGAGAGGTGGCAAGGGGAAGCGAAATACGTCACGCGCATCCGGTGACGTTTAGCGCTTTTTCTCAAGTTCTTCTTTTTCTTAAAAGGCACGGCTTTTCAGTACGATCATACGCACACGGGTGGAGAAGTGGCGGCCTCCCGTGGCGATTTCCGTAACGACCGAGTGTGCCACGTTCAAACCAGCCAATAAATGATCAAACGGCTGTGACGAGTGAATTTTTAGCTTCTTCCGTCATTTTGTTTGAGAAAAGCAAGCAAGATTTAGCGAACATTGAGAATTTATTGTGAATTTCCGGCCGCACGCTGCGCTATATTTGACCAGCGTGTTCTATGGAGCCTCTACTATCGATCGGTAACGTTTTCTGACCATGCTCAAAAAGTGTTGCACGGCCATTTTAAGGCATCTGTGATGCACTCTACAACAAAACGAATGCATATTTGAAAAAACGAAATCCTTCGATACATTTTCAAACTCACACATTGTTATAGAGCTATGCTACTAAACTGTGCCTTGCAAAGCATCGTTCCGTGCGGATTCTCTCATAGTATTCACATCAAAGCGTCATGCTCCCAAACTCGGCTCAAATCAGCAAGAATTACTGACTTGCTCCAGAATCGTCTAAACTCTCTATCTCGCCTTAATAAGTATAACTGCATTCTTGGTAAAACAGTTGCGCCGAGCGTAAGAATGCTCTCGAACTTAGTTGCTGCGTGCTGAGGAGCCACTCCTGCAGCCTCTGCAGGGCTGAGGCTGCAGGCCGCTGTCAAGTCCAGCGATGATGTCCTGCGCCACGATCTGCTCCCGCTTGATTCGCTGCTGTACCGACCTGGGCACGTCTGGTATCAGGGCTGCCACCAAACCAGTTATGAAGAAGACCACGTGCTGGACGCATGCAGGCAAGAAAGCATGTTTCAACCTAAGATATACAGGGAAACTTCACTTGATTTTTTGGGCACCCAGGAAGATTTCGTCAAAATGAATGTTTGATTAATTGAAATGGTGACGTTGCAAACCGTTATCAGGAGATAAAGGAAACGTCAGTTGTTGACATAAAATTCGAGCCCTATTATGTGCAAGCCGTTTATTCGGATGTCTGTTTATATAATTTGTTTTGAAGAATGCAGCAATCTTTTGCTGCACGTGTGCTTTTATAACAGCAGTAGTCATGAATTGAGTCACCACGTCTAAGTTCCCACGAACCTTCTCTGGCACAACACTCTCCTGGGCAGCGAAGGACTTCACTGTTTTCCAAGTACATCAGTGCTTCCTTAGCTGAAATTCTTGGAACTTCCTCTACAGCAGTTCATTTTTTTCTTTTTTAGTTTTCTTGAAGTGGGAAGCTCACAACAATGTTTTCTGTAAACAGAGTTGCGCACGTCTCCACGCGAGAGTCACAGCGGACATGGTCCTCAAATAGCAAAGCGCTGTTTGTACCCTATTTTCAAGAAAATGTTTGGTCATTATGATGGTAAAGGCATCGGATGGGGTCAAAAAATATGTTCATGAAACTTAAATGCACTCTACACTAAGTTCTTTAAACAAAAAGGTGTTAGCATTGGGTCCAATGGCACATCGGTGGGAGATTAAAATTGAATACAATTGAATAGTTGTTTTCAGTGGCATTCGTTAATGTGGAATTTCACTCTATACTGAAATTTACGATGTACTGGCACATCATTATGTCACGGACATCAATATGAACTAATGTCTCGCTGTCTCCGATTGCTTATCGGAATGGTACGCTCACGTGCTGCTTGCAGATAAATGTGACCAGCCTGAAATCACCTTCTTCATTGATTCTTGCTGAAATTTGACGGATGCACCTAACACTGGCTCGTGCCAAAACAAGCGTACCTCGAAAACCACGACGAAGAAGAGCCTGGCGGCGAATATGTGCCAGTACGTCAGAGTCAGCTGGTACTCGCTTTCCGAGCCCGGCGGCTCGCGGTAGTCCAGGTACCTGCACCGCAATGAATACATCATATTTCTCAGTTCAAGAAAAGCAGGAACTCCTGAATCATCCAGATCATTCAATTGGTACTGTTGCAAAGATTTTAGATCTATGAGTGTTATGCAACCTAAGGCGCGTTCCTTGTGGTGAAACGATTCGTCGAGCATTCAACCACACATTTCGAACTATAGAAGTACTTACAGCATGACTGGAGAAGTTATACTGAATTACTTTGTCGGTAACTGCTAACATCACAGTGTGATGAGCTTGTGTACCATGCTCATTGAATACGCTACTTATTTTATTAATGAGGGGACAGGAGCAAATCACCTCTTTCTTCCCCTGGTTCGTATTTAGCAGAACGTTTCTCTGTAGAAAGGTTGCTAACTAGCTCAGCTTATGACTGAAAGAAAAAAGCCCTGCTTATTTGTTATTTACCTACTTATATGCATTCGCATTTCCTGAAACACTCACTGTAAATTTGTTTCTTTATGCAGTCATAATTAGAGCTTTAGGCTCATATGGGAGTGTGACAGTGACACCATACACAGTTCGCGATAATGAAAATTCTGCAAAATCGCAACTTTTTGTTAAGTGCGCGAATGAGGACGCTTTCTTACAGTATTCAGGAAAACGAGTGGCCTGATGAGCTAATTGGACAAGTTATCCCTTGCGAATGAGCCATAATGAAATGTCACATTCTATCTAATCTGGCTCAGTAAAAGTCTCGGTCATTTAACCTGGGTCTACGCAAAGGTGGTGACCTCACCTGCACTGGCGTACAACGATCCCGTCCAACGTGGCGTTGTCCGGCCGAGTCTCAGTCGTCGAAATCGCTCGTGTCAAACGACGAGAGCGTGAAGTTGACGAATCCGCGCAAGTTGTGGCCCTTGCTGTGCACCATGCGGTACAGCATGCGCGGTATGAAGTCGCTCGTGTAGGCGATCAGGAACGCCTGCGAATGTGTGTTCACCGTAGTGCTTATATTGAACGAATGTGAAATTAAAAACGAACAGAAATGTCAATCGAAGGAAGGATGAGGAAGAAGGGATGAAAAAGTTCACAAGACGCATGTCCGATTTGCTACCCAGGGAACAGGAAGGTTCTCAAGATTGATTGATTGTGGGGTTTAACGCCCCAAAACTACCATATGATTGTGAGAGACGCCGTAGTGGAGGGCTCCGAAAATCTTGACCACCTGGGATTTTTTAACGTCCACCCTAATCTGAGCACATGGGCCTACAGCATTTCTACCTCCATTGGGAATGCAGCCGCCCCAGCCGGGATTCGATCCCGCGAAATGCGGCTCAGCGACCGAGTAGCTTAGCCACTAGATCACTGCGTGGGGCTGGTTCTCAAGATGAAAAATAAGACGTCGAAAGAATGAAAGTGACGATGGGTTGTGCTCAAGTAGGTTCAGAATGAATTTCTAGAATAAAAATGATTGCTTGTGGGTGAAGCCGTGCCCTTGAAAGGGTGTTGGCCACGGCAGCCATTTTTCAATGGGCGCGGCCTCACCGATAAACGATAAATTTCATTAGTTGATTCGTGAACAATGCCAAGAAACTAAAACACTTCACCTTTTGCCGGAATATACCATAACTGTATGAACTAGGGCACTAGCTTTGCTAGTCCGGCTGCTATCAGTGCGCGGGACTGATTGGATTTTTGTAACCTCTTTGGTTGCGATACCGTTCCGAACATGCGTGGTTGTTCATTGAACCCAAGCTCACTCTTATCGCTCATCTAGTCTGGTACATTTGAAGAAGTTCAGCGATTTTCATATCTAAACGTGGGAATGAGGGAAATTATCAGTAGTAAAAAGTATCAGGAGGACAGAATAAAGTGGTGCGGTTTATATACGAAAAATGTGCCAGACAAGATTCTCCGTCTTCAATAATGCCACATATTATAATAGAGACAATACAAACGAGCGGAAAAAATTACCACGTGGCACAATACACTTGCTTTAAAAAAATTATGGCGCTGCCCTCTTTGATATGTAGGCCCACTACGAGAAAAAAACAAGACACAGTGACTAAAATTTGCTTGCGCCAATTTTCGTTCGGACAAATGCTCAGAAGTACGTTTTTTTTTCGTCAAACAGTGAGTCAGTCGAATTCACTTGATGTTGATGTATTTGAGTCAAATGATTTTATGGCAGCGTTCAAAAAAAAAAAAACATTGTTTCTTGTGAATTTCACTGATGCCCCTAGGTGTGATTGCGGCTTACTTTTGCGCATTATGTTCCTTTTGTGTGGCGCTGTTTTCGCGTATTTATATTTTTTCTGTATTTCGTTTCCTTTCTCTCGCCGTAATGTCCCTTCAGCTTGCGCCAAAGTATTGGCCTGCTGTACTTCTAATTCAATAAAAGAAATCACTGTAGGCAGCGATGTGTCTGAAAGCCAAAATATTTGATCCGATTAGTTTTATTGCAACTTTCTTTTTAGTGTTCCCATCCTTTTGACTCCACTTGATGTTCGTAAATGCTCAACATATATCTTGTCTACCTCAATTCTTAAACCATTCAAGCGATTTTTTCCACATTTGTACGCGCTAAGTACTTTTCCACCAGTTTTTTTTTTTTTGAAGTGGTGAAAAGAAACCTTTGTCGACAGTAAAATACTGCATTGTCGCAACACTGTATACCCAGTGATGTTTCAATGTCTGGCTAGACTTTGAAAATACCCCATTCTGGTGGCAACCTTCAACAACCTTTGCTTTGAAGGCCAGAGCATTCACATACTTCATACGCGAAAATAACCTGCCGCGGTTGACTAGCGGCTAGTGTGCTCGACTGCTGTTTCGTAGGTTACAGGACCAAATCCGGCCGTACGACTGCAATTTTGATGGAGGCGAAAATACTTGAAGCCTGTGTATTTAGATTTAGGTGCACGTTAAAGATCCCCGCGTGGTTGTAATGTTGGGGACCCTCCACTGTGGCGTCTCTCATAATCATGTCGTAGTCTTGCAGCGTTAAACTCTTGTATTATTAATAGTAAGAATGGACCGTCAGTGCCGTAAACACGAATGACGCCAGCACGTGATGGCAACGTCATATGACGTCATCACGAAGCAACAGATCACCACATTTGTGACGTCATCATGACATCATGATGTAAGGTGTCATCGCGTGATGTCATCACATGGCGCCGACGCTTGTTCAAGGAAGCACTGATCTCGGAAGCAGCGTAAACAAGGGTGAGGTGGCAGACAGCTTGCATTATTTCAGATCTTGGAAGATGTGCAATTTGGGCAAATAATAATGCTTCGGTTCAAGCTACGAACGTTAAGGAACCCCAGGTGGTCAAAATTTCCGGAGCCCTCCACTACAACGCTCATTATAATCATATGGTGGTTTTGGGACGTTAAACCCCCCATATCAATCAATCAATCAATCAAAAATTAGTTGAGAGAAGCTTTATAGCATTACAAAAACACCATTTAGAGAACTATGGAAATGGTTTACCACAACACCCTTGTCATGAACTGGCTTTCAAAACACCGTCGTCTATTTGCTTTCGTTTTCGTTGTCTCTCAGGGAAAAAGTTCTTCCAAGATTATTGTTGTTGCCTATTGTGGGGGATGGGAAGGAGGAAGTTGCTGATGATGGCATCCCATCGCTGCCACCAGTTGTTAAAGTTGAAGGAAGTTCGCTGAAGATGGCATTCCACCGCTGCCACCAGTTGTTGGGGATGGGAAAGAGGAAGTTGCTGATGATGGCATCCCACCGCTGCCACCAGTTGTTAAGGTTCGGAAGCAGGAAATTGCTGATGATGGCATCCCACCGATGCCACCAGTTGTTGCGGATGGGGGTCTACCCGGTCTCTTGTGGTAGCGTGGTGTAACCGGGTGGAGGAAACGAACGCTGACAAGAAGAGGATACGAAAACAAACAGGTTTATGGCATTATGTACACATATTTACAGCAAAGAATGGTTAATGTTTTCACAAACGACGAGCGTGGTGGTTGAACTATTACATGGTTCAGAGCGACGTCCAGCACTCGGCGGCGTCGTTTTAAGCCCTGTCGGGCTCCTCCTCTCCGAGTGGAACACCAATCACACACGCAACAGGTGAGGTGGACGAGCATTCACGGCCCACGTGCACGTCCAATATTGAGTCGTGATCACTGCACTGCAAGGTGGCGCCAGCAGGGCTCTTCCTCATCGTGTGTGTGCCGCAAGTCGAGAGGTCCCAAGATCCTGACAGCATACATCAAAGGGTCTGCCGATCGGTTCGCTCAATTAGCGGGGTGATTTGTGGCGGCCGCCACGGTCTCTTCCAAGGAAGATGCTGTCTTTGTTCTCTCTAGAACGGTTTACGGCGTCGTGGTGACACGACGTCTCATCCTCCGGCTAGCACGGACAATGCCTGACGAGCATAGGCAGCCGGCCGGTCGGGTACTTGATTGAGGATTAAAAGAGCGCCGCTCCCCCGTCAGCTCTGGCGTCGGTCAGTCACAACAGCTTCCCCGTCGCCAGATGAGTCGCTGAGATCATCAGGCACCGCTGCTGTTCGAAGGGACGACGAAAGGGCCCGCATTTGAAAGTCAGGAACTCGCCTTTGCTTGCCGCATGGTCTGGGTAATTGCCGAAATCTTCAACGCCGTCTGGAAGACTGGGCGCCGAAGGGATTGAGAGCCATTCCAGTAGACCGGCTTACGCACAATGTCGTCTGCCCAGACGAATCGCCGGACCAAACGTAACACTATGCAAGCACGCTTCTTTTCCGCATGTAGATTAGCCATGTGCAATATAGTATGTGTGCAGTTTTGTTGTTGTTGTTTGTCACCACAGTTAACGATGACATACATGCGGAAAGGCCAGGGCACGCTGAAGCTAATTGATCAGCTTTTATCCCCTGGTTTCTCGTGACATTATTGCTGCGAATAAATAAAGCAGTGATATAAAATAAAACCACTTTCGGTGCAGAAAGCTGAAGCGGGTGTGAGAGAGAAGGAATGCATTTGCTGAGAAGCAAAAGGAGAACGTGGCTTCCTCCTTCAAGTCACCTTATGTGAATACGTAAGGAATCCATTGAATTTATTTTCTCTCACGTAACTTGGTAGGATGATTAGCTTCTTTTTTTTATTAAGGGGATAATTATCTAGTATCTAAATATGACGACGTCTTACAAATTTCAACTAGAATCACCTTCTCAGCTTATCCTTTTTGTGCGGGGAGTGTCGCGACAAGCTTGCCAAAAAACTAAATTTGACGCGTTCATAAGTTGTATAGTTCGCCGCAATATTTTATCGACCACAGGAGTGCGTGACCATAACAATGCATTCACAATGCACTCACTTATTTTGTAATCTATTTCTGATTATGTTTTACCATTACGGCCGATGATGCACGCATCGTGTATTCACAACATAAGAAAGGAACAAGTGGTAAAGCACTCGGTGAAAGACTTACATTGCAGATGACGGCGAATACGGACACACCTTTTAGTATCACCTGCCAGGCCCCTGCATGCAGTTAAGAAGGATGAAAAATTAAGACAATGTTATTCAGGATAATCATGCTGTAGATTCATATATTAGGATCTAGAAAAATATGCACTGATGAAAATAATCTCAGTGTCCGTGGGCTGTATCGCACAGTTCGTAGGCACTGAGATTATACGTTCACCAATGTATGTATGTATGTACGTATGTATGTACGTATGTATGTATGTGTTGATTGATTGATATGTGGGGTTTAACGTCCCAAAACCACCATATGATTATGAGAGACGCCGTAGTGGAGGACTCCGGAAATTTTGACCACCTGGGGTTCTTTAATGTGCACCCAAATCTGAGAACACGGGCCTACAACATTTCCGCCTTCATCGGAAATGCAGCCGCCGCAGCCAGGATTCGAACCCGCGACCTGCGGGTCAGCAGCCGAGTACCTTAGCCACTAGACCACCACGGCGGGGCATGTATGTATGTGTGTATGTATGTATGTATGTATGTATGTATGTATGTATGTATGTATGTATGTATGTATGTATGTAGGTGTGTGTATGTATGTATGTATGTATGTATGCATGTAAAAACCTAATATTGGTAAGTATACACACGAAAGTATTTTTTTTTACTTTCTGTCTGTCTGTTGATATGCTGTTCTAGATACGCCGGAGGGATGAACTGCCCTGGACGATAAGGAGCTTCGGCCTTAAAACCTGAGGTTTTCCAACCTGGTGCCTACCGCAGCCAGAATACACATTTCACAGCGAAGAAAGTGTACGAAAGGCATGCGGCGCCATTGCGATTGATACAACGTGGTGTCGTCGCTTACCGATGTTCGGTACCCTCTCGGCAAGTGGCCTGCGCATTTGCGAGGTGTACTTGTACGCATCCAGGCGGATTTCCACGATGTTGTTCAGAAGCGCGAACAGCGGTGCCAGCGGGAATGCAGCCACAAACAGAGTGACGAAGCCAAATTGGATGGCTGCACAATAGAACAAGAAAGACATCAGACTTGGATACAGGAACCTAAGAGGTAACGGCAAAGTAGCTGATTTTGTATATGTGGAGCTGCAAAATTAAGATACCCTGGCGAATAAAAAAACATTCATCGGCTTCAAGTTTTTTACAAAGCTGCAGTGACATAATAAAAGATTCCAAAATAATTAGGGTATTTGAATAATAACTTATAGGACATAATTTAGTACAATTCAATAATAATAGATGGGAATTGAACCAAATATTGAGGCAAGTTTTGATGAATTTACAAATACTCGCCAAATGTTCTTAGAGTTATTCTGTGTTCCAAAATCTAGCTTTTTTGTCATAATACCAAAACCACAAAAGCGCGCGTGTTGAATCTTGGTATTCATAACTTTAGTATTAAAATTACAAGGGTGTGTACCATTTCTTATATTTGTACTTTTAGTACTTGAACCGTAACGCGGTCTATAATTCTTGAAATCGTAGTTTTGGCGATAAAGCTACAAAAGAAGAATGAGAAGGAAGAGCTTCTTGCCACACACATAACTCGACTGCGAGCGCGAATTATTATTCTATTTTAGGTAAAGTAGGTCTCTTCCGTGGGCGTAGCCTGAAAGCAAGGTTGTTTTTTTTTCAATTGTCACAAAACGAAACAGGCTACTAAATATAGAAATCGACTATGCAAATGCCATGAAACTGACAAGCAATCAACCCTTTTTGTAATTCGGAAGTGCGCTTCTCTGCGCCGCACATTTGCCCACCAAGTAATGGCAGCAGCTGTCGTGCATCAAGTGGAGACGCTGCCCTAGTTGAAGGTGCTGGGGCTTATTTGTTACAAGTGTTTATATCCAGAGAGCCGACTCTACAATTTTTTACGTCAGTTGCTACGTCAGTTTTTTACGCCAGTTTTTACGTCGTCCCCATTTTTTGGCATGGCATAAAAAGCAAAAAATGACCATTCCAAGGGGGCGCCCTTCCTTAAAATAAGGAGGTCTCCCCCCCCTTACCACCCCAAAAAAAATTCGGGCTACGTGCCTGGGCAGTGACTAGCCGCCATTAGTTGTCCAATCTGGATAACAGGAAAACTATCATTACAATTTCAAAAACGGGTTATTACGGCGAAAAAAAAAAGAGGTGAATCTCACCCATTTCCAAGTACTCGTCGAAGAGGGAGAGAGTGTGCCACTGGGCTAGCACGTAGTCGGCCTCCCAGCGAGCCACGGAGCCCCTGCGATCGCCACTGTCCCGGGTCATGTGATCCCGTCGCCAGGAACGCCACCAGTTCATCACCAGACTGCAATAGTGCAAACAAAACCTTGAGCACGACCGCAGAAGTGTACAGACAGCCCTGGTGAACACGACGCCGACGTAGGACAAGCTGCGAGCACAAAGATCAACTTCCTAAAAAAACATTTATTTGCGCGTAACGAGGAGCATTGCAAATGGACGTGGCCTCTATTCCAGGGCTCTGCTGGCCCTTAAATTCATCTCTTCCCGTTGTACCAGCCACAGCGGATGGTCAAAGACCGAACTGAATGGCAGTGCCGCCCATTGTTCCCCTGTGTTGTACATGTTGTGGTATTCTTCATCGTAATGCGTACACTCACACGTAATGTGAAACAGAGTTGGTGTATAGCCCGTACCGCGGACATATATATCTATTTATGCTGTGGGGTAGAATACATATAGCCTGTGTAAGTTTGTGTATGAGTTGGTCTGGAGTTTGCGTAACTTTTTAGCCAGTTCTTAGACCATCTGGCTATCCTGTGCTGGGGAAGGGGGTAAGAGTAATAAAAGTCGACAGAAAAAAGATAGCAGAAGAAAAAAAAATGGAAAAAAAGAAGGACAACAGTACGACACCGCTTACAATCTGTCTCTGAGACCACTTTCCCGCAAGAAGTGCAACAACGCTCTCAATGCCTTGCGTGCCGAGGACGGTCTCAGCCAATGTCCAAAGACCCTTTCTTCTTACAATTGTCGATTGTCAAGTCTATCTAGAACTTTCGAAAGTTATTTTCTTGGCACACTGAAGCGAAAACACTTGCTGAAAACATGGGCAATTGTCTCCGCGCAGCCACAGTTGTCGCATGTCGGGATGCTGGCAATTCCAATTTGAAACGAATGAGCATTCCAAAAGGTCACCACGAGCCACAGACGGCACAGGAGCGTCTCTTCAGCTCGTAGTATTTTTGGCGGATAATGTTTTCTAATATCCCTGTAGTACTGAAGACTTGTAGCGAAATGAGGGTCTAGGGGCGTTGGATCTTCTACTACAGTGTGCAAGGAAGCTCGGTGTACTATGTATCTCTGCTAATTTTATACGCATTCGCAGCTATGAACTACCATACTGCAAATTGGGCTTTGAACTGTTTAGTGATGCATGATGTTACGTGCAGCCAAACCTAATAATACTGTCTTGGCTAATACGCTTTACAGGCAGTAAAAATGATGGTAACTGATCTAACATGTTATCCTGCTAATGTGTTATTGTAATAAAATTCCTTAGCCATCACCACAAGCCCGCAATATTCTAAATGCGAAGCATTTCTTAGTCGAACTTCAGCGACATTGAGCGCTATATTATCTATCTAGCCGTTTACGTTTTGGTGCTTACGTGGTCACCTCCTTAACTTGGCGTGAACCAAAATTAGCATAAGAGGGTAAGATGATTTGACGGATATGAAGCGCTGCTCAAGGCCTTAATAATGTCATAATGCCGTCACGTACGTCGTCAAACAAGTCCCGCCAGACAGTGGAACATACCCATGGGCGTGTATCTGCCGCTGGTATGTGGGTATGTGCCACAGGTGATTGACACTTGGTATCTACGCAGGAACGACGAGAACGCACATGGGCAATTTTAACGTGTGAGCGTTAAGAAATAACCGAAGTCGGTAGCGTCAAACCAACGAATGCAAAGAATAAATGTCACGGTCCCAGCTGGAATCGAACCCAAGCATTCTGCGTGGCAATGAAGCATTTTACCACAGAGCTACGCCAGGTCTCGGAACTACTTTTCAAGTAGACGTTAATCTTCGTGAAATCTTTATAGTGGTTGCAGTGCTGCCTACCCAATATTATAAACATTACACATGTGCTCTTTTCATATATCCGTCACGTCGGGTTAACGTCAATTGTGGTTAGTTGACATGCGCTAAAGTTAGTTTATGTGGCAGCCTTCAGGGTCAGCATCCTCGCGAGCATCAGCACTTCATATCACCTTCTGGCGTTGCTAATACGTATGTTTAAGTTGGCATCGTTGCGCAAGTGCAAAGCACTGGTTATATAAACATCTGCAACTCTTCAACATATGTCTGTACGTGCAACGTTTGTACATATATTTAGCGTCATTTTAGGACGTTTCACACAATAAAAATATTGCAACATGGTCACCTTCTTTCCGCATGCTTCGCATTACGTCGATTCCCAGGTACGTGGGCTCTGCCGAATTTTTTTATCGACTCAGCAAAAGTGTAATTTTTGATTGAACAAGGTGTTGTCCCTAATAAAGAGTGGACTCTTAATTCGGTGACAACACAGTGGACAGCAAGGTAATAACAAAATGTGTCGTTCACAGAAAGTTCAGCTAAGTAACGCCCGTTTAAAACACTCGCGTATGCAATTAAGGTCAAGAAAGACAGTGGTGTCCTTGAGGCGCGGAAGACCAATCATCTAGCAAACGCCTATGAGACCTTGTTTCCAGAACGTCCATGTAGTGGAAGGCTGGAGGCCTTTAGCGAAAAAAATTGCCACGAGAAAGGCAAACACTGCAATATAGAGTTATGAGACTGGAAAGCTTACGGCTGTCCAATTTCTTGAATGTTGTTGATGACTTGTTTGCCCACCATGACTATGGCCAGCTGAACGCACACTTCGTACAGACAGCCACCTTCACACTGGAAAAACAGTAGCGAAACTTAAAGAGAAGGCAAGGCGAAGATGGAGTCCTGCTGTAACGCAAGATCATGGAGCAGTTGTTGAACCGGGAATCTCGCTTGAACTATAGAGTTTCCTAGAACATTTACAAGAGGCAACTTTCGCATGGCGACCATTCATGATCCATGGGAATAATGGGTAGTACTCAGATTTGACATATCTTCGAGCTTGAGGCTTCTAATGCACTTGTGTCTTTACTTAGGGTTGTATTTTGGTGTTCCAATTGAAAGACTGGATCATTGGGAACTTCGTAAGCCGACATGAATTGGTGAGCCCAAGATAGCTAAGGTAGTGTAGTGAAGCTGCTGAATATTCGCTGAACTTCTCGCGACAAAGTGGTTGCAAGCCACACAGCCAAACAGAGCCTTAAAAGCAAAGTTCAGAGAAATTCGTGTAATACTGATAATTCCCATGCTGAATGAAGTGCCATGCGTTTCAAATCTCATCGATACCTGCACCGAAGCCCTCTCTAGTTTAATATTAAAACTCTATGACGAGAACAACCATTTCGACAAAAGGAGTTGTCTGTGTGCAAGCGGAGCTGCACTGCGGACGAACACAAGTCCACTTGTTCAAACGTTGACTCCAGTGACGTACCCTTTTCAACGATTGCTCAAATATTTTTCATCGCAAGAAGGGAAAACAGAAATTTCACCTTAATGTACTTTCAAGATGAGTGACAGTGTTAATATCTTGCTAGCTGCCGTTCTATTAAAGCTCTGCAGATAATTTCAGCACGTTGTCAATTGTCATCATAATCCCCGCGATTCCTGATAACAACATGGGTGTTTGAAGGTGGGCGATATCGATTTATTACAAGTTCTTCAAGCTTGCGTAAACGTTTTCTCCTTGTCTGCAGGAAAAAGTTAAGAGATCAACAAATAGTCCAACTATAATCACTCACACTGTTTTAGAAGACATCAAAGAGAAGTAAAATTGCCAAATGCTCTAACAATCTAAGCAAGTTTCTACAACACCTTTATATGACATCGGGTGCGTGCAGCCTGTGCCCATAAAGTGTGCGCAAGAACTGTTCACAGTCATAACCATGCAGTTAACTAACGCCCGATAGCGCAGAAAGCGACTGAAGCGCTGCTACTGTACTTGAACACAACAAACCTGAGCGACCGCCTGTAGACTGTGTGTGCTCCCTCTAGCGTGCTCGTGATTGTGTGCATCTTTCTTCCCGCTCTCCTATCTCTTTTCACCCCTTCATCCCTTCCCCAGTGCACGGTAGCAAACCGGACGTGTATCTGGTTAACCTTTCTGCCTTTCCTTGCATATTTATCTCTCTGCTATCTTTCTCTCTCACACACGACATACTGGCGGAAGAAATTCGGTGCTCAGAACATAGTGTTGGGATTATATTAGTTCACACTTGCCTGATGAATCTATCATCTGTTCCCTCCGCCAGTCACTAACGTACTCAGCGATCAGATAGTTACTTATCTGTTGAACGACGAGGGTACTCGCTCACTAATTCGCTGCTTCACCTAATGGCGTAGTTGCCGCCCAATTAAGTTACGAAAACTGCTGGCCCACTGAAGCTGACATCTGACATTAGTGTGAGCTGCTACTGGAGAATATTGGGATTGTGGGGAAAAGAAAGTACAACACAGATCGTAACTCACTGAAGGCTTTTCATATTACAGCCCGAGATTGGTCAAATATTAGGGATGCATCAGTCCGTCTCGCTTGCAGAAAGAATATGTCTCGACAGTAGGCTGTGATTGAGGTTAGGTATGTTTGAATTGTCAGCGATGTTGTGCGCATTCTATTGAGTATATTGTACTTTAATACTGTACAAGTATAATCGTAAAATATTTTGTCCAATTTAGCAAAAAAAAAACACAGTGAAAGTCAATGTAATAGATTTCATGGGATGGGCAAAAGTGTTGAAATTAACCAAAGGTTGAAATATAAAAAAGTATGAAGAAAACTATAAATTATTGCCTGTCGCATCACTGCCGCTTCGTTCACTTAGAAATACGCAAATACAAGTACCTCTTTCCCAAAATAAGAGCTCAAAAATCTCAGTTTTCGGGGTTTTCGAATCCTTTCCCAACGCGAACACGAGTGGTGGTGGTAGTTGTTAGAACAGGAACAAGGCAGCTTATTTCTGATGCCCGGTAGGGACCACGGCGCAACAGATGCCCTGCTTTAGTCCGAAACGTGCTGTGAACCAACACTTTACTGCGTACCAACAAGACCATTTTGTATAGTCGCCTTGCACAGACTGTGGCCCGTGGCCGTTTCGCCAGTCCGTGACCACTATTTTAGCTCGTTTATTTCTCATATTTGCCACCCTTCGCACTAGACATACTGCAAATATTGTCCGAATTAACGACTGTTTGATGTCATTAAACAGTTGATGTACTGGCTGGGATTAGATCACACGCCTGAGTTATCGGATACCCTAAAATGACGCGTGTCAAAATAAAGAGCTTTTTATGTGTTAATAAAATAACGTAGACATTCTCAGTATACATTGGCAATAAATGAACAGAGCTCGCCCAATCCACTAATAGTCACATACGCCCTTGTAAAGTTGTGGTCGAGAAACGTGGCTGTTGCTGCACGCCGACGTGTCGTGATGGATGGATCACGATTCCAAGAGTTTTCATTTAGTTCACCTTTGTACCTAAGCCTGCGACATTGCGTTGTTTAAGTGGAAGCTACGCCCTGCCAACCAGCAATGTTCAAAGAGCTCTGTCTTATAACCAATGATTCCGCGACTGCTGATTTTTCAGTATATTTACTTATATTTTGAGTTTTATGCAGTGATGAGGTATCTGAATCTACTGCTTTTTGGTCCTCTACTTTTTTAATTTATTCTATTTCCAGATTCTCAAACAAAGCATTATACTTTTGCCAGGTAAGCCACAAGTTCGCTAAAGTAGTTGCTGGAGGAATTGAAGCTCTATAGTTTTGAGCAAATGTCGGCAATTTGTGACAAAGATATGTTAATGCCCATGATACCCGACATCTACGAAGCCACAAGCAATAACTTCAATCCTGTTGTCCTTCAAGCTCCTTCCCCGTACTAAGAGGTATGGTACTCTGTTCAGAGAGCCAGGTTTAGAATAAGGACGACGGTCGGCCGGTATCCCACTCATGCTCGAGTGGCTCGTTCCAGAATTCCAGAAATGTGGCAGTGGTTACCAACTAGTAGAGGTCAAGACGTTTATTTTTTCGTGGCCTTAGATTCCTTCATAACAAATGTAGTATACCATCGTAGCAATGTGGACTTGTTGATGCGTAATAAAAATGCACTTAGCGCTGGTGAGGACGGGTAGAACAAGTCCCAAACACTATACACTCGCGTCATATGTCTAGTGTCTCTTTCTCGTTGTTCTCGTCATCAACAGCAATAACTGCCTCTCTGAGAGCCTCAGCTCTCCACTGGCTTTAAGGCATTTTCACATTGACCGTCTGTTCACAGAGGCAAAAAAAAAACTTCACGGGAACGCCTACAAGCTCACTTAATGGTACTGAACGTTTTCGGCAGTCAACGCTCCAAAAGAAGGTTCGGATGTTACTTCGGCCTTGTGCGCATGACATCCCAGAACTTTTTCTATTGAAGCACAGACTATTAAGTACTGGTCAATATGTACAGGACATTGATAAGGAAAATGAGCAACATTGAGAAAGCCAGCTGCACCACTGGCGAAACGTCTATTCATTTTGTCGTTGCTTGTCCTGATAATTAGGAATAATCATTTTACGGTCATGAATTCAGTCGGCTTTGGAAAAGTTTTTACGAATAAGAAGTGTAAAGCTACAGCTCCCTATGTCACCTTTCCTTGTTTTTTGTTTCTGCAAAACAGCCAGAATTTTCCGTGGTCCACTCGGCGAGATGAATCGACCAGCCCAGCATCAAGATATTTTGGTGTCCGTTAAGTAGAACAAATTCGAAGCGACAAACACACTTACTAAGAGTGTTGCACCAGCGAGCAAATAAAAATAGCTTGCCGTTCTTCTTCATTGCGACGAGAAAAAACCTAGTCGAAACGTACATACCTTGTCCAAGCTGTATCCAAAAAGCGTTCCCTCCTTGCCCGGGTGCCCAGAGAACCTAATTGGCGAAAATCGCGATTATGAGCGAGAAGTGTTGATATGTCGCTAGAGACCGTCTCTGTGTTGGCAGACTTTCCAACGCGTTTCCCTAAAAAAAAGCAAAACACGCAACAAAAAACAAACAAGAAATGCAAGCTCTCAAATATTGATGGCTTCAACTTTAAAATCACCCTGTCTTCATTACGACATGGCAATGCAACAAGTGCAGTATTTGTTATAACTATACGAAAAACACCTCAAACGTACTGCAGGAAGAAAAACAATAGAGTCGAAAAGCCGGGATGCCCACCAGTTTAGCATGACTGGCATACTACCCGGGGCAAGGGAGAAGGGATATAGTGAAAGAAGTGTAAAGAAAGAGGGTACCGCATAACAGTGATAAACACATAACGCATACAGCGACATACACTGGAATACACTATTTACAAAGTTTCATTCATACTAGTGGTTTGCTAAAAAGTCCGTAGTCCACTGAGTCATAGAATGCAAGTGATGGCTGGTGGAAGCCGTCTACAGTGCAATGCCTCTGCTTCGGAATAATGGTATGGACGTCTGAGCCACGGCATGTTTCTCATCTCAAGACTCGTATGTACGCTTTGAAGGTTGTCCGAAATGAACAAGCTCATTCTAACATACCTTCCTTTAAAGAATGCGATGTATATCAGTGAAGAGTAGGTGTTGAGAAACGTAAACAGGAACATCTTGAAGGTGAAGCTGTCTTCATACTCCCGTTGGGTCCTCGGTCGTTCTGGAAGTAAACACAGTTGTGGAACACTTTGAGATAAGCTCTAGAGCACAGCTTGGAGACAGCATTGTCTGTAATAGAACAAAAAGTATACTTTGATAAATTCTGCAGCTGCAGCTAGCCAGTATTGAAAGCGCCGGTATGTTTAGAAGTGTTTAACGATATCAAGTACTTCGTACTCAACTATGGGATAACAGTGAGCCATTCTTATACGTATGCGAATAAAAGCAAAGTTCTGCACCACAATTCGAGTATTCTGTCTTTTAGAAGAAACAGTTCTACAATTTTGAGTACTATGTACGCCACTAAGGGAGAGCGTTGAACCGTACCAGTTTGATAACGACCTATAACGTAAGTTGGATTGTGTTAAGAACAGATGCTTGTTTTTCCAGGTTCCTGGCCCAGTGAGATGCGCTGTTGGTAAAATAAGGCACCACGGGGACATCGATAGTTTAGGCGCAATGGTTAAGCCCGAGTGAAGTTGTTCGTTGAATTCGACAACAGTTTTAGCTAACGATGCTTGGCGTCTGTCTGAAGGCAGTGTGGCAAGATGATGACTGGAAGCACGCGTGCAAAGTGTCTGATGTGCGTTCTCAGGACTTTGACTGTAATGTGAGTCTGCACTGAAAGGTCATGAGCAATCACAATCGTTGCCTCTGTTGACGTACATCTGGACAAACCAAGGCCCGCTCTGAGTGCTTGTGCTTGGACTGCCTCCAGAACGATAATATTTGTTTTGCAAAGTACTGCTCAGCACAGGCAGGCTATATCTAAGAAAACGAGAAACAGCGCTCTGTAGAGATTTAGCATCGCGTCTAATGACATCCCCCACGTCTTTTCTGCCAAGAACTTGAACAGCTGTAAAAATGCCGTCAAGCGCTGCTTCATGTAGGCCACGTGCAGGCTTCAGCAGAGGTCTCTGTCACTGATTACAAATGGTAACAGAGGGTAACAAATGGGCCGCCCATTTATTGAGATGGCATAAGGCGTCATTAGTTTAGAAATGAAGGCCACTAGAGTGTCGTCACTTGTGCTGAAGCTACTCTATCTGCTTGTTTTGCACAAAAAGTATGCGGGAAGTGTGCATAAATATATACCGATGGTTCCAGAAATCTGCTGTCCTCGTCCTGTACAGTGGTTGTCGCAGCAAAAGATATGGCCATCAGCTTTAAAACTGACCATTTCACGACCTCGACAGCTGTGGAACTAACTGCTGTGCGTGCTTCTCTTCGTTTGGTCAACCGGGAACCACCTCAACACTGGTCGATATTCACCAACTCTAAGGCAGCCATGCAATCTGTGCTTTCAGCAGTACACCGTGTCCTATACGAGCAGCTGGTATTTGAAATTCGGCATCTCATTCACACATACTATAAAAAAGGGCACCACGTGACGTTTCTATGGCTTCCAATTCACTGCGGCGTCATAGGAAATGAACACGCCGATAATGCCACTCCGGCTGCTCTTGACGGCACACATGGGCATGCCATACGGCTTTCGAGGTCTGACGCGGCCAGCAGTCTTCGAGGGCTTGCAAAGGAGACAACGCTCTCTATATGGTGCCCCCAAGGATCCAGATCAACCAGACCACTGATCAACACCGCTTGCGCTATTCGATGTATCTTGATATGCCAAGTGGACTCCACCGAAGAGAAGCCACACTGCTTTATTTTTTATGGTTAGGGTTGCACATGGTATTTACGAAATCATATTCTGTCCGCCTTGGAACGGCCGACGATGCTCCCTGCGATGCCTGTAATTTTGACGAGACGCTAAGCCACGATTGATCTATTTGATTGATTTGTGTGGTTTAACGTCGAAAAACTACCATAATATTATGAGAGACGCCGTAGTGGAGGGCTCCGGAAATTTCGACCACCTGTGGTTCTTTACGTGCGCCCAAATCTGAGCACACGGGCCTACAACATTTCCGCCTCCATCGAAAATGCAGCCGCCGCAGCCGGGATTTGGTCCCAAGACCTGCGGATCAGCAGCCGAGTACCTTAGCCACTAGACCACCGCGGCGGGGAGAGACGCTAAGCCATATACAGTCTGACTGTCTGGTCTACAATGTGCAGAGAAAATCACTGGCGTCCATTGTAGCGCACCTTTACAGTAGACAAATGTCTTTTGAATTCTTTCTAGAATGTCGTCGACAAAGGACATTGCAGCGGAAGGTGACCAAGCAACTGCTTATATTTTTGAAAAAGACGGACCTGGTAAAACGGCTGTGAGAGTGATGTCGCGTTCCATGCCACATTATTGGACTATTACTGTTTCGGTGCATGCGCACGTGCTGCGTGTTGTGCTGTCTGTTCATTTCTTCTTTTTTCTTCTTTCAATCTCTGTCACCTCTTTCCCACGTGTAGGGTAGAAGACCGGTTATCCTGGACTGGTTGATCTCCCTACCTTTCTTTTTCTACCATTCTCTTCTCTTTTTTCTCTTTAGAACAACCGTTAGAGAATTTAGAGTACGTGGTATTTGACTAGGTGAGAGCAATAAGCTGTCCCAGGTAGCTGAAAAAGACTCTCAGCATGTGTTCAGAAAAAGTCCTTAACGATTCAGGGTACATAAAATATGAGCCATCTCCCCGAAGGGAAAACCTGATGGAATGTGAAGCAGCTGCGGTGCGCACGGCATTGACCCGGTTGAAACGGGCGTCGAAGCGGTTGCTGGAAGAACGCTTTGAAGCGAAACTTGGCGTATCATTTACTCGAGTAAGTGTTTGTTTTAAACGGAAAGACATCGAAGGCGGGTTTAGTTTCGTGTAAGTTTCATCACAGACAAACGTCCCGCCGCGGTGGTCTGGTGGCCAAGGTACTCGGCTGCTGACCCGCAGGTCGCGGGATGGAATCCCGACTGCGGCGGTTACATTTGCGATGGAGGCGGAAATGTTGTAGGCCCGTGTGCTCAGATTTGGGCGCACGTAGAGAACCCCACGTGGTCGAATTTTTCGGAGACTTCCACTACGGCGTCTCTCATAATCATATGGTGGTTTTGGGACGTTAAACCCCACATATCAATCAATCAATCAATCAATCAATCAATCAATCAATCAATCAATCAATCGATCGATCGATCAATCTATCCTCACAGACAAATGAGCCAAAAGAGTCACTCGACGTGCGGTCGAGCGTTGCGGGTGGTAGAGAAGGTGATTCGAGGCAGAACTGTGTTGCGAAAAGGCGGAGGAGCCGGCGGCTGCGGGCGCTGCTGGTGAGCGTGCTGCGGGTGAGGGAGAAAATTACGTTAACGAGCATTTGCGAGGGAAGCGTGTGAGAGGAGCGTGACGACAGCGTGCAGCTGCGGTGTGACCTACTTGGCACTGCTCGAATACCTGCGGCCAGGGAAGCGCTGCGGCGCGTTCGTATGGACGCACGTACGTACGGCATTACACGCGTGAGTCAAATAGCTGCTTCATATCTAATACTCTACCAAAAGAGGGCTGAAAGTCGTCCCACATCTAAAGAATTAACTATGAGGTATGAGCTGCGTTAAGAAAATGTTTGTAACGATTCAGAGTACTGGATACTCTACTATGGGAGAGGATAAAGCCGTCTCGCGCGCCTCATCTAGGAATAATTACCTAAGGCTTCGTGTATTTGTTTAGAAAAAGTGGGCAACGACTTAGAGTACCAGGTATCTACTATGGGAGAGCAGAAAGCCGTCCTGTGGGCCCCACACTTATAAAAAATGCCAGGCCTGCGCGGAAGCAGCACGACAGTCACAGTGAAAGCTAGAAGAGCGGCCTCACAGAGCCTTTTCAAAACACTCATTGGGTTACTACTGCAAGCACACTTGCTCCGATACCCCTACGGCATTAATAATACACATTTCGGTAGAAGGTTAGAAAAGATATTCAACGATTTCGAGTACTTCGTACTCAACTATAGGAGAGCACTGAGCCGTCCCGCTAAAAGAAGCTATAGTCCACTAAGGCATTAATAATAAGCTTTTCGGTAGAAGAGCAGCATTCGGAAGGAGTGTTTAGAAAAAGTGGGTAACTATTTAGTGTAATAGAGGTACTCTACTACGGGAGAGCTGTAGCAGTCCCGTGCTGTTTGATGCTCGATTCACAACCTAACTACTGGACGTGTGTTTAGAAGACGTTGTTAATGATTTAGAGTACTTGGCACTTTACTATGGGAGAGCATAAAGCCGTCCCGTGCGTCAGCCTGATATGGAACCGAAGGACGTGGGTGAAGGGGAGGGTAGAAAAAAAGGGTAACGATTTAAAGTACAGGGTACTCTACTATGGGAGAGCTTAAAGCCGTCCCGAGAACATGTTCAAGACACAGACATGCAGACATCCTCGTAGCACGGACAGTTAGCTATGCGCCAGAAGTGGCTCAATCAGCGAAGGTGAGTGCGCCACATCATGGATAGCAGCCTCTTGTTTTGTTCTGGTTAAGAGCGTTTTATTTTGTTCTTGTTAACATTTTTTCCCCGCCATATATTATGTTTGATTGTCGGTAAATGTTACTGTTTTTTCGTCGTTGAGGCCTTTTATTTTGTATGTTCTTAACAGCTTTTCGATAATCTTATTGTTGTTCACAAGTTTTTCGGTTTCTACATCCGCTGTAGACGCCGTGGGTGGTGGTTTATTGACAGAGGCACGTTGTGCTGCCTTAAAGAGCCATTCACCAGGTTTCACAATTTTGAGCTGACGAGCGTGAATGCATACACGGGGCATCACGATCACGTCTGACAAAATCTGCAATGCTACACGCCGCGCAAATGGGCCAAATTTCAAGATGAACGTTGCTTTCTCTTCTCTTCGCGGGCGCGTGCCCAGAGAATGAGGGCATGACGTAGACGTAGGTATTTCCCTACGTAGATGGCTGTGCTGTGACATCGGTCTTCTACGTAGACGACTGTGCTTTGACGTGGTCAACAATAGCGCGTCACATGGCGAAAATTATTTCACATGACATGAGTAATTCAGTGTAATTGGCTGCTTGAATAAATAAAACTTGAGATAAATGAGCCAACAGGAAAAGGG